GACAATCAACTTCATGCTTTATATCTTTTCAAAAGGTAATGGTCTTGTAGTGACTTGCACTTCGTTTAATTTACATCGTGCCTGCTTGATTGACACGACTCAAATGAAAGGAGTTTGGGAACAATTTTTGTATTTCTCGTTGGGTTGCCGATGGTAAACTACACCAAACTCCAAATAGCAATCAGGCCAAACTTCATATAAAAATTTGTAATTTCAGACGTGAATTTCTGCAATTTCAAACGCGTATTTTAATTCCAAAGTGACTAAACTTACAAAAATTATAAATTTTGGCTACACATTAAATAGGGGTCCCAAAATCGGCTATCTACACACAATCCAAAGGGTTAGATGCATATTGGATCAACAAAATGAATCAATCTGGTGCATGTAATCACTTTACACACAATCCAAAGGATTATCGTATTTGATCAAGCCTTTCACCACACTAAAGAATTTGTATGTGAAATTGTATTTCTTGGACAAGTAGCATATTTTGTTGGTCGAATGCCATGAACATCATGATTAGCCAATGTGCCATTGAAGTTAGCTAGATACACCACGCACAACTGAACCACTATTTTAACTTATACTATAGATATATTTGTAAAAAAATATGAAAATATTATAAATACAATGTTTTCGGACCTATAATTTTAAGGAACTCAGAACCTTGACTCGCTTATGGACAAATTTCTAATCCTCCATTCTTCTTGGGACGGATCCACCTCTCTAGAATGGCTGGTATGGCACCCCATAAGATAATAAAATTATCATATATCGATGTTAAAATTTTCTTAAATAAGATTAAATGTTTGATTCTGCCACCCGCCGTCGTAAACTAGATAAAGGTGCCGTGGCTGGTAGACCTTTTGAAAGCTCTTCTCGTGTTTAAAAGTCAAGTTAGAATTATCTTGAACCTTGTTCAACTTTCCCTTTTCTTTGTACTTTTTATTTCCTTTTGTCCCAGTCATTTCCCTTTTCGGCTACATCCCAAATTTCTATTTGTCATTTTATTATATTTTTATATTTTCCCTTCATCTATTTTATTTTTTTATATGTAGCACGAACATTCAGAAAAGAGACTCCAAAAGTTTAAAATTTCATAAAATAAGTGTTTACCTTGAAAATGGTAATAACAATTAGATTTGATTTTGCGGTTCTAAAAATATGTGATCTATTTTTATGCTAGTTGTTAAGTAGTAGATGCTAAGTAACGAGATTAGAAAGTAATATAAGAGATGAAGATGGAATCAAACCAAACGGTTGAGAATCGGGGCCTCGAGCTAGCGCGTGCGGGGCCTCGATACCAAGTTAGATGCCCGGCTAAGGGCGGTCGATGGAGGATTAACAACTATTAGGGTTGTGATTGCAGCTCTTTATGACCAATAACGAGCAATAAATGAAGAACGATTAATGATATACAATAAATATAAATAAAGCAATAAATGTAAGCAACAGAGCCAAATAGAGAGTATGTTTAAGTTAGAGAGCAGAAAGATTGTTCTTGTATTGAATGAAGTATCTTGTGTTTTTGAGACGTGTCTTTACAAAATGACAGGGATCCCCTTTTTATACAAGGAGGAAAATCCCATCATAGTACATGAATAATTATTATAAAGATACATAGCTGGAACAGCTAAACACTAGTCTGGAACAGATACTAGACTAGTGTTTCTCTTGGCAGGCTTTGTCAGTTCTGATTGCACGCCTTGGGAACTTCCCGCTGGTGCGTCGCAGCCGTTGGCTTGCACTGCCTCGAGGTCGATCATTACGAACCCTCGGAGGCGAGCTTCAAGCTAGACTTCGAGCCTCCCGGGGGTGGTCTCCCTGAGGCGCTCTAATGATCGCGAAATCGAGCCCTCTGATTTTCACCGCATACAGATAGTCCCCGCGTTTCTTTAGAATAAAATGATAAGAAACGATTTTGATACCGATCCCCTCGAGCCTCTTGTGATGATGTCATGCTTATGACGTCAGCTTTCGATAACTGAGACGTCCCATCGATACATCTTTTCGAGGAAAATTTGATGTAGCGTCAGTTGACTTTTTCAAGATGACAATATCGCCGCCGATTAGTTCCCCAACATGTATTGATTGCGCCTGTCGATCCGTTCTCCCAAGACATTGATTGCGCCGCCAGCACATTTCCCAGAGGCATTGATTTCGCGTTGTTGGTTACGCTTCCTCCTTTCTATAAATGGGAGCTTTCCTGAACCAAACTTCATTCAGTCATTCTTCAACAATCTTCGGTTCCTTACTTCTCTTCATCTTCATCCATTTTTATTCCCATGTTTAAAGCCTGTGGTCGCAAGGTCATACGACGGCGTTCTTGCCAGTTGTCCCATGGCTCTTTCTCAGAGCTTTCACCTACTGAGCGGGATCGCACTGGTTTGTTATTGTTGTTGTTGTTGCTGTTATTACTGTTGTTGCCGTTGGCTCGAGACGACGAGATAGGGGATCTAATTTCTTCCTACTCAGGAAGGTATTCGAACTTTACACCGCTGCTCTGGAGGACGTTCGAACTTTACACCGCTGCTCACCTCCCTACTTTAGCCTGGAGTGGCACCTCATCCCTTTTGCTTTCCGTGGAGTGAAGCGGCACTACCGGCTACTAACTTGCATGGCACAATGTCCCAAGAAGTGGACTCAAATAAGCCGTGCAGGTAGGGCCTACGCTTGCCAAATCTTCTATCAGGCTGTATTTTCCTTGGTCTGGTAAAAGCATTTGCTCTTTGGCGGGCTACGACTTTTCTTCATCTTTTTCTGCTTCTTCCTCGTCCTTTAAGACGCCATTGGGGGGGGGGGGATATGAGGCTCCCGGAGAAATGATATTCGAAGGCATTGCTCCCGAGGACGTACTCCCGAGAGCAGTTTAGATTTTTAGCTGTTACTTTTGCTTCTTTGTTTCTGTGTAAGGACTCTTCGTGGGCTTTTGTAATTATGTGTAAGGTCCCTTCATGGGCTTTTTGTAACCAACGTCTATTAATGCAAAGAAGTTTCTTCAATTTATCTCTGATTTATGTTGGGTTTTCCTTTATTTGCATTTGTGAAGAATCTGAGTGCATGACTCTACCGATTGATCTGAATACCGGGCCCGGGTGTAAGTATTTCCTCGGATCCTTTTTGATTAGTACGATATCCTGTGGAGCCCTTTCTCATCCCTTGGACTGAACCCGGGTTGGATAGACACAAGTATAGGCCGCTGGGACCCCGAGTGAAAATAGGGCTTCGAATATATAGAACGAAACCTAGCCTTTCAGACCCCGTCAACAGTCCTCGAGGGGGAACTTGCTCGGATGTCCGAGAATAAAGATAGCCTTTAGGCTTTCGAAAACAGTCTTCGAGCGAGAGTTCGCTCAAGCTTGAGCGGTCTGAAAACTTGTTTTGAACTTAGAGCCAAGACAACCTTAAGGCGTTGCAGATAGATCCCGGCCGAGGGTTCGCCTGGGTTTGGATAGCCCCTAGATTAAGGTAACCGAGTGGGCATTTAACCGGACCCGAAGGTGAGAAACAGCCCTAAGGTTTTATCAGTAGTTTTTGAGTGAAACTTAGCTCAGGCTCAGGTAGCTCGGGGGCCGGATGACCGGGTAAACGGCCCGCACTTGTAATAGCAGAAATCCTCGAGGTATGGTACCACCTCGAGGTCAAGCCCATATAAGTAGGTCTTTAGAACTTATCCTCTTTTTGACAGGTGTCCTCGAGATCGGGTACCATCTCGAGGCTAGTAGCATATCAATGGCTCCTTGTAGCCTATCTTTTTTTTGATAAAGGTCCTCGAGATCGGGCACCATCTCGAGGCTTGTGATGACATCAATGGCTCCTTAGAGCCTATCTTCCTTTTGATATAAGTCCTCGAGATCGGGTACCATCTCGAGGCTTGTAATGATATCAATGGCTCCTTAGAGCCTATCTACCTTCTGATAGAGGCCCTCAAGATCGGGTACCATCTCGAGGCTTGTTAATGCGGGGGTTTTTTATCCCCGAAATGTCGTTCAACCGCATAAATTGCACGACATGGTTATAAGACGACTGAGACGATCGCGCTGGTACGTCTTCCCAAAGTGATAATGGCTTAGCCAGTATTTTTAACTGGCTTTTGAGGTGGGCAGATAGTCACCGCTTGCTTCTATATATAGGTTTCTCTTCTCTTTTTTGAGGATTCCGCTATCTTGAGTATAGAGTTCTCCTCTCTGTGTTAGGTTTTTCACTACTTTAACTTGGGAATCCTTGCTCAGATTTTCTGCTCCAATTCTCTAACTTTGCCATAGTTATGGTTGCTGCGCCATGATTCGTCCGGCAAGGAGAAGGGAGTTCCGCCGCTGATCCCTGCTTGGTTGGTGGTGCATCGTCGGAGTCATGCGAGCTGCCTTTAGGACATTTTGCTTCGATGGGGAATTTTCCTACAGAAAAACCTCCCAATGCCTAGGGGTATTGGGAGTATGCTTCGAAGCTTACCTCTCTGATAGAAGAGGAGCATCTTGAGTCAGTGAGAAAAGATTGCGGATGGGGGAAGAAAGTAGTACTGCAGATACCTTCCCCGGAAAAGAGCATTATGGACCGTGCCGAGGGGTTTCTGAACGTATACACGTACCTCTTCACGCTGGGCCCCCTCGATAGGGTTGTGCTCGATTTCTGTCGAAAGTATCGGGCTACCTTGGCTCAGATTCACCCTTCGTTTTGGCGTATAGTACTGACGATGCAATTCTTTGCGGAGGGAGCAGGGCTCGATTTTACACTCAGTCATCTTATCAGGCTGTACCGGCTATTTCGCCATCGAGGCCTACTAACCCTGCGATGCCGATCCACTAGGTCTTTCGTCGTTGACGATGAAGAAGATGGGGACCGGGAATGGATGAGCAGATTTATCCGAGTACGGACTTCTGACATTATCCCGATGGAGATCCTGCCGTTTCCCGAGGAATGGAATTTTGCACGTAAGTGGTACACTTGTGTCTTTGTTGTTTTGCTTGTTTTGTTCATGGCGGAGGCGAGCTCCGTAAATGCGTTTTTCATTCCCTTTCTGCAGCAATTTCATGGACACCCTACGAGGTCCCCGACATGACAGATTGGCTCAGAAGTTGGCGATCCATTCGATCTATGATGGTCGTAAGTGGCGAGACCTGTCTAAGGGCAGATGGGAGGCAAAAAACCACGGTACGTGCTATGCAATTTTGCTCTTTCTTTGGAAAGCATTCCCTTTTTAAGCGCATTGATTCCATCTTTGTAGGTATTGGCGGGTTCTCTGAGGTGAGATCGTGCCTTCTCGGAGAGGGGGAAGAATTATCAGCTTCGGGGCCGAATAATAATAATAAGCGAAAAGAGCCTCCGCAGACTGACGATGCTTATAGAAGGATGTGTCTAGCCCTGAGGCTTAGTGAGGATGCATCACCCGAACCTGCAGCGCCCGAGGCGAGGAACGAAGGTTCTCTGCCGCCGGCTTCTCCTCCCGTCGAAGGTACTTCGAGGGATGCTCAAGGCTGGCGGCCGCATGTATCGAGCGACCGTGTACCGACCGGGAGTGGTTTTACTGGGTTTGATGGAACCAGGCTAGCGGATGTGCGCTCGACTTTTGAGGAAGCTCAGCGGCTCTACTCTGAGGTGAGCTTTGGCGGTGTTGATTCCTTGGTTTTTGCAACTTTTATTCTTTTATTGAGTTTTTCCTTCATAGGCTTTAAACAAGCTCAAATCTGAGCTGCTTCATCGTGAGGTCGGGCTGCAGAAAGCCGTGGATAGGGAAAAAACCTTAGGCTCCTTTGCGATGACAAGGAGGATGAGTTGGCACACTTGTGGTATGAGGCGAGTCGAAGCTTGAACTATGAAAGCTACCTTGAAGAGCAGGCAAATTTTGTTCTAAGGGGTGCATGTTCCCTTTTCTATCCCAGAGGCTGATGTTTCGTTTATTCTAGTTGTAGAAGAAGTTGGAGAGCCTGGAATTCCTCGAGAGTGAAATTGCCCAAATTAAGTGTCAGTGCGATGAATTGAAGGCTCGGGTGGATGCTCAGGTTGTGGCGGAAAAGGCCGCTTTGTCCAAAGCTTCCGCCTTCGAAGCGCAACTTCGCGTAGCTCATGAATACAGCTTGGTCCGAGCAGACATGATATCAAGCCTCAAGTATGAGCTTCAGAAGGTGAAGGTCGAAGTTGTGGATGCCCGGGCCGAAGCCGTAATGAGCCGAACTAAGGCCGATAAAAAAGTGGTCGTTTATTTGAAGGATGCTGCCGATGCTCGAGCTGATCTGAGGAGGGCTCTTAACTGTAAGGGCAGAAGCAAGGAGTATGCTCGATGCATATCTCGAAGGGAAACCCTCAAGGAGATTCATGCTAGGGGATTTGACCTCTCGGAAGAGGTAAAGCAGGCAAAGGCGGATGAGTCTGACGCTAAGTCCTTTCTGTCCGATGCTGATGATAGCGAGAAAGAGGCCGACGGGCCATAGTCCCCGAGGAGGACATAGATTAGGCCTTCCTTTTCCGATTCTGTGTATAGTGCTTTCAAGGAACATTGTAAATGGAGTTTGTATTTTTCGCATATATGTATCAAGGAAGCCTTGCGGCTTCATTTTTCATGCACTTCCCTTCGCTTCGAGGTTTGTCAGTCGTTAGCCAGATGAACTGATCTTTGGAAGAAGAACCCTTAGGTCTATTGTACGGCCCCGGGCTTCGTTCCGGTGGCCCAGTAGGCTCTTACGTGTTTGGTCGGGACGACCTTTAGTGTAAGCCGGCGTTTAAGCTCTTATGCTTTTGTTCTTAGGCATATGTGGTTAATTGTTTCGAGTTCAGTCTCCGAGTCGGGTTTCTACTCGAGCCTATTGACCCTTAAGTTTTTGATTTTAAGGCTGGCCCTTAGGCTCTTACACGATTGGTCGGTACGGCCTTTTACATGGTATGGCGGCAGTGGTTCTTATGCTTTAGGTCGGTACGACCTTTTATACGAGTTGGCGGCAGCGACTCTTACGCTTTAGGTCGGTACGACCTTTTATGTCAGCTGGCGGCAGTGGCTCTTACGCTTTAGGTCGGTACGACATTTTATATGAGCTGGCGGCAGTGGCTCTTACGCATTAGGGTCGGTACGACCTCTAATATAGGCTTTATTCTTCCCTCGTTAAGGATTTTTGAATTTGCATTTGCCTGACTCTTCGACGGTTCGGTAAAACCTCGATTGCGAGTCGTTACATGGCAGTGATCGAGCACCTCGGGAGGTCTTGCTCGGTGGCTGAGTGTTTCAAAGCCTATAGTTCTAGAGCTGACATGGTCGAAGCCCCTTTGCTTGTGTCGAGGGTATCCTGTTTTAACCAGTTCGTTTCGAAGTAATTGAAGGCTTGCGATTTTGTAGCAACGGTCGGGAGTCCCCAAGTCGCGTTAGTTTGGCTGGTACAGCCTTGTGGCCATAGTCGTTGTGTTTGGCCGGAGCCTTTCAGTCCCCGAGTGAAGTAGTTTCGGCATCTATATCGAGGGTATGCCTTTAGGGGTCTTATAAGTTCGATATATTGCCTTAACTTTAAGATCGGGATTTGTGCCTTTTGTATGGTCTTATAAATTTTTACATGCCTTTGAGGTCTTACAGCTTTGGTTACTTAGTAGAAGTATGGTTCATGCCTTGCCTGAGGTCTTACAGGTTTGGTTACTTGGTACAAGTATGGTTCAGGCCTTGCTTGAGGTCTTACAAATTTGATATTGCCTAGGTCTTATGAATTTTTACATGCCTTCGAGGTCTTACAGTTTTGATATTGCCTTATGGAGGTCTTACGCGTTCGAGGTTGCCCGCATGGGGCCTTATAGCCTTGGGTTTTTGACAGATCAATGGGGACGGCAGTTGGCGGCAGTTCCCAAGTGATCAAAAATTTCTTGGCTCGAGAGCCATTCTCTGTAAACTTGGTATTGCCTCATTGGGAGCTTACGAATTCTGGATTTCCAACCCGGAGGTCATGTAGCCTTGAGTTTTTGACGCCAGTCCCCGAGTGTTTGGGACGCTTTTTGGATTCTGGAGCCGTTTTTGCAATGTTAACGTTGCCTCATTGAGGGCTTAGCTTCGAGTTTTTGATGCCAGTCCCCGAGTGTTAGGGATATTTTGGGCCCTGGAGCCATTTTTGTAAGAAGTGGCGAACTTCTTTGAAACGCGAAATGCTTTGATGGAGGGGAAAGTATTCTTTGATTACTTGGAACAAGTATACATGTCTTCACCATCTAGGGCTTGGCATGGACACGGTTCGTTCGACCGTTTGGCCTGGTACATCATTTTCCTATCGAGACCCCGTTCAGCACACCTTGGCTTCTCCGAGGAGGTGACCTTTCGGGGGGATGCCCCTCAGTATTCGAGGTTGATTGAAGAGAAGCCTTGAATACTTTGTTGAGCCTTCATTAGGTAGCATATAGATGTTGCCTCATTAAAAACCTTGTTGGTAAAAACCCTTCTTGGACAAAACCCGATCGAAGGAAAAGAGTGCAACGCATGCTTTCGAAACCTAAGGCCTTCAGGTTGGAAAGCGCTTTGGTAGCATTTATCGAGTGCCTACGTACATGGTTAGAGCAAAGCCTGAACGAAAAAGGGAGATGACCACACCTTAGTGCCGGCGATGCCTTGAGTCTTGATATGCTTCGATTGTTTGCCTTGAGGACGCGGTACGGTCCGTTACTTGTTTTAGTCGGGTGTAACCGGAAGTATAGCTTGTTATTGCTATTTTACTGTTTGCTTATCCTTTGGCTCCTTCGACGATGGAGTTATCGGTGCCGATGCCACATCGTGCACCGCAAACATCTCTTTTGCTGCATGCTATTCTCCGTAGACGGTTTTTATCCCGTCCTTTGTCGGGAACTTCATCATTTGATGGAGGGTGGACGGTACTGCCCTCATGCAGTGTATCCACGGCCTTCCGAGCAAGGCGTTATACCTCATATCTCCTTCGATGACATGAGATTTGGAATTTTGGGTTGTCCCAGCCACGTTGACCGGGAGGGTGATTTATCCTTTGGTCATTTTGCTTGCCATGTTGAATCCCTTGAGGACTCGAGAGGCGGGCACGATCTGGTCGAGCAGTCCAATCTGCTCCACCACCCTCGACCTGATGATGTTGGCTGAGCTACCTGGATCCACAAGCACACGCTTAATTTGAAATGTATTTACAAACAAAAAAAAATTACCAATGCGTCGTTATGGGGCTGAGATAGAGCCTCGATGTCCTCGTCGTTGAATGTGAGGGTGTCCTCGGGTATGTAACCTCGAGTTCACTTCTCCCTGGTGATGGAAATTTTTGTTCTCCCGACCATGGGTTCTTGTGGAGCATCGATACCTCCGAAGATCATGTGGATGACATGTTGTGGCTCACTTGTTTCACTCTTCTTGGTCGCCTCTCTTTCCTGGAACTGATTATTGGCTCGGTCGCTGAGGAATTCTCGGAGGTGACCTTTGCTGAGTAGTCGGGCTACTTCTTCCCGGAGTTGTCGGCAATCCTCGATCTTGTGACCATGTGTGTTGTGAAATTCACACACTAAGTTATGGTTCCTTTGCGAAGGATCTGATTGTACAGGCCTTGGCCACCTGGTGTCTTTGATTTTACTGATGGCGAATACGATGTCTGATATGTCGACGTTGAAATTGTATTCCGACATGCGGGGTGCCTCCGTCGGCCCTATGTGCCCATCGAATCTAGCTCTGCTAACTAGTCCTCGAGGGTTTTGACCTTGATCTAGCCTTCGATCGTTGCGGGGTATGTTGCGCCTTGGGCGTTTCTTCTATCTTCAGTGTATGGTTGGTATCTTTCTTTGTTTGTCTTTGGCTCGTTCGTCGGAAGCCTGCTAGGATATACCGAGCCCGAGGGGGCTCCCAGTTGGTCGTCTTCGACCCTGATCTTTGATTGGTATCGGTTGTGGACATCCGACCAGGTCACAGCGGGATATTCGACTAAGTTCTGCTTCAGCTACTTCGAAGCTACCGAGCTCCGCTCGTTCAAATCTTGAGTGAAGGCCTGCACTGACCAGTCGTCGAAGACCGGCGGTAGTTCCATTCGTTCCATTTAGAAGAGAGATACGAATTCTCGCAGCATCTCGTTATCTCTTTGCTTGATTTTGAAAACGCCGGATTTTCTTGTAGCTACCTTGATGGCACCAGCATGTGCCTTTATGAACGAATCTGCCAGCATGGCAAACGAATCTATCGAGTGTGGGCTAAGTTGTGGTACCACATCATCGCTCCCTTTGAGATCGTCTCTCCAAATTTCTTCAGTAGGATGGATTCGATCTCGTCGTCCTTCAGGTCGTTGCCTTTTACTACACAAGTGTAAGCAGTGGCGTGCTCATTGGGGTCCGAGGTTCCGTTGTACTTCGGAAGGTCGGGCATTCTGAACTTCTTTGGAATGGGTTTTGGAGCCGCTTCCTGTGGGAACGGCTTTTGCACGAACTTCTTGGAGTCGACACCTTTCAGGATCGGGGGTGCGCCCGGGATTTGATCGACCCTAGTACTGTAGGTCTCCACCTTCTTGTCGTTGACTTCTATCTTTTTCTCGCCCGATTCGACCCTCTTTGTGAGGTCCTCGAGCATTTTTATGGGTTTTGACCCGAAATCAAAGATCTTGGGCAAGAAAAAGTGTGAAAGATAACTTGTGTTATGTAGAAAACCAGCAAGAAAACAATCACTATTATTTTTAGCCCCAAGGTGGGCGCCAAACTGTTTACCTTGAAAATGGTAATAACAATTAGATTTGATTTTGTGGTTCTAAAAATATGTGATCTATTTTTATGCTAGTTGTTAAGCAGTAGATGCTAAGTGACGAGATTAGAAAATAATATAAGATATTGAAGATGGCTTTAGAAACCAAACCAAACGGTTGAGAATCGGTGCCTCGAGCTAGCGCGTGCGGGGCCTCGATACCAAGTTAGATGCCTGACTAAGGGCGGTCGATGGAGGATTAACAACTATTAGGGTTGTGATTGCGGCTCTTTATGACCAATAACGAGCAATAAATGAAGAACGATTAATGATATACACAATAAATATAAATAAAGCAATAAATGTAAGCAACAGAGCCAAATAGAGAGTATGTTTAAGTTAGAGAGCAGAAAGAATGTTCTTGTATTGAATGAAGTATCTTGTGTTTTTGAGATGTGTCTTTACAAAATGACAGGGATCCCCTTTTTATATAAGGAGGGAAATCCCATCATAGTACATGAATAATTATTACAAAGATACATAGCTGGAACAACTAAACACTAGTCTGGTACAGATACCAGACTAGTGTTTCCCTTGGCAGGCTTTGTCTGATCGCACGCCTTGGGAACTTCCCGCTGGTGCGTCGCAGCAGTTGGCTTGCACTGCCTCGAGGTCGATCATTACGAACCCTCGGGGGCGAGCTTCAAGCTAGAATTCGAGCCTCCCGGGGGTGGTCTCCCTGAGGCGCTCTAATGATCGCGAAATCGAGCCCTCTGATTTTTACCGAATACAATAAGTATTCCTCTTAATCTCAAATCAATGGGTTTTTTTCTTTTAAATCCGAGAAACTTGGGTCTTAGAGGGAATTTTAGGTTGAGATCAAATTCAATTTACATCTCTTTTTATTAGATCAAATTCAATTTAAATATAATTTAAATCTCTTTACTATTAAATTATGATGAAAATTTCATAAGTATTGCTAACAAAAATATGAGATTTATGATTTTGATTTTTGAGAACTTGTAGTTTATTTAATTCTATATCTATGGGGTATAATTTATCTATTGAAGATTTTTTTTCTTAAGTTTCTTATCTTGATTAGTGCAATTCCCTTATTGAAGATGTTATGCGTAAACTTATTTTTAATATAAAGAAAAAAGATGTAATTCTCTAGTGAAAAAATATTGGTTTTACTTGTTTTGTTAAAATAAAGCTATGATTCCTTATGAAAATGCTAATTACGTTTGTTTCTTGATATTTGAGATGTAATTTACATATTTACAAATAAAAAATACCTATTAAGTTGACCCGATGAATTAAAAAAAATCGAATAAACTTCCCTAACAAACTGAGTATTAGTCATTACAAAGTGTACACTATATGACACTTATCATGTTCAAATCCTAGATCCGCCTCTGATGATAAACGTAAAAATTTTTTACACGATAAGTGTAATTTAACCTGTGAATTAGGTACTATTATCATCTGCTTAAGATAGTCAAATATATATCTATACTCTATACTATATTAAAAGCACGAAGGCCCTTAGCGAAATATCGTTCGCCTTTTTTACCCTTTAAAATAGAATTTACAATGGACAAAATATAGTCATTTAATTATTTTTCTAATATTTATGAGACATTAATTAAACATTGTATATTTACTTCCTTATAATTTGAACTATATAAAACTTCTAATATTTAGAAATTTAATTCACCTAAGGATTTTATATCGTTAAATTTTTTAATATGGTATCCAAATCAGTCTAGAACTTTTTACCTCTAATAAATATGCCTAAAAGTACTTCTAATATGGTAATACGAGATAATTATAGTTTTTCTCTCTTCTTCAATCTCTCTTGCCCTTATTCAGTTATACTCTTTTCTTTCTAATAGCCTTTCACGAGAGATACACTTTTAGTTTTTTTTTTCTCCATTTTAGCTTCTTATTTTAGTTGTTGGAGTCGTATTTTCAAGTAAATTTGTTAGAAATTTATGATGCATTGATTTTTTTGTAGAAGAGATTCAGATTCTCGAATTTAGTCAATTTTATTTTTGAGTTGTTTTTTAAATCCAATTGTATGCAATTATATTAATTTCATAATTTGTTGGGAATATTGCTGAGTATTTAGTTAGAAATCCTTTATTAGAGATGGATTATTTTATTTTGATTAGAAGTTAATTTTGCTACAGGTTTAGAAGAAATCTACCTGCAGATTGTAGGAGTTCAACAAGCACTTTGCATTGGTGCATTACGGCAAGTAAAGGACTTATCATCTTGTATGCCAATTAAATTTATATCATAAATTGCAATTAGTTTCTTCAAACTATAATACTTATTTTCATCTTGGTGTTCTTCTGCCGCATATTTTCATGCAAATACGATTATGCCTTCCAAAAAGTCATTTCAATTGAAGACTTTATTTATGATATGTAGTGATTCTTATTCTTTGAGATTTATAAAGAATTGTCATTTTTTTTAACATGTCGTGCATGGGTAATTCTTCACCTAATTGATTTTTAACTATTTGAAATAGAATTCTTATTGAATAAAATATAATTAAATATTTAAAATTTGATATGAGCTAATTAATATTATTTATCTTTTTAAGTTTGCAACCGCACAGCCTATTATTTTTTGGCAATATTATTTATACACATGATTTGCAACATTATACCATTATTATAATCTATCTTCTATAATATACTAAAAGCACGAAGGCCCTAAGCGAAATGTCGTTTGCCATCCTTTTAAAATAGAGTTTATAATGAACAAAATATCATTTGATTATTTTCCTAATATTTGGCAATAGTTATTTTAATTGATTTCCTACTATTTAGGAGTAGTTACCTTTTAGATTTAGTTTTTTTTTGTTTGTTTGTTAATGAACTAGGAAATTTCGTATATTTTGACATAAGTAAATTTTTTTACTCTTAGTTATTTAATTGTTATATAAATTATTTTCTTATTTGTTGTAATTTTGAGGATTAGTGATATAAATCTTGTGAGTACAAACAATTTTATAATACACCTAAAATAATTTAATTGATCGCTGCATAATAAAGTTCGTAGAATTTAAATATGCATTCTTTGTAGTGAGTACAACTTTTGGTAACTGAAAAAGAAATATGATAACTTATGAAATTTATTTGGTGCAATTATAAAAGTATACATTTTCTTAAGTTGAGAATAATGGTACTTAATGTACTGAGCGTAACTTTCGTTTTTTTGTATAAGTTTTTTTTTTTATTGGGTTAGCTATATATGGTAAATTCTTTTTATGTTTACGATTTTACACTTTATTTTATAACTCAAGTTTTAATTATGTTATATCTATATTTAATAAGATAGGGTACACGCGCAACGCGCGTACCCTAAGACTAGTATATATACACACTAATCCACCTAGCTGGAAATAAAAGTTTGGGATTTACTATAAAATCCTAAGATCTGCCTCTACTATCTCGTTACTTGACAGCTCGTCTAGCTAACTTTGCACAATGCAAGGCAGAGCTCCCTAAGTTGAAGTAGTCATCACCACAAAAACTTTTAAGGATATATTGAGAAAATTTGACCTGACAACCATTTTTTTCGATATACACTCATATGTAATAATAGTACGATTTTTAAGCTTATCCAAACAAAGAAAAACAATGAAATCAATTGCATGCATGCACGCACGCGGAGAATCAGTCAAAACAGTGGTGAAAATCCATAAAAATTCAGCTGCAAACTGCACTAATAGAGAACTAACTAAACAAAATTATATTGAGAGTCTGAATTGACATTTTGAACATGAAGATGAAAAAAGATAAGCTTATAGAGCTGAAAAGAGCAGTGGATATAGTGGATGCTCATTCACATAATATTGTAGCCCTCCATTCCAATTACCCTTTTCTCAAGTGCCACTTGCGATGCTTTATATAATGCACCCTATACCCTCAATTTCAAGGTCTATTTCTTATCACACATGTTAGCTTTTTTATAACAATTTTTTGAATTAACCTTTTGGAGCATGCTGTATAACGTCATTGTTATGATATGTTAAACATAGGTTACAATATTTCGAGGCGGATCTAGCATGGGTTATGTGGGTTAAATTGAATTAATCGTTTTTAGCTCAAATTATGTCTGCACATGTAAAAAAATTACAATAACGCAATATACTTTTTTCATATAATAATAGTAAATTTTAACTTGTAATAGTAGCTCAGTTAAGAAGGGGAGCCATATTAAGGTGTATGATAGCAGTCATTATTTCTAAAAATACTGAATTCACCTCTAGTCACAATATAATGTCAGGTCGCTCCAGCTTGATCACCAAATTCTAATGATAAGGATACTAAGTGGTCAGTAGAATTTAATGGTTTTTTGATTAAATAGAGATAATCTGCCTGCTTATTCCATTACTAGGGAATTGGTTTGGGCTTCGAGTTGTGGCTATCTCATTGATTGTGATATCACAGTAGTTCAATTTACTTTGTGTTGCTTAGCAATTAACTGAGCCAAGTATTGCGAATGGGTATGTTGATTTAAGTTAGGAAGCTGAGAAGTTTTAGGGTACAGCAATTATGAGGATAAATAAAAGGGTTTTTTATGAGGGTTAATGGCTTTTAGTCTTGAAAGTTGTTGGAAACACTTTGGCTGGAAAATCAAATCACTGGTAAAAAATTAAAACTATACGTTTCTTGTTGCACGGCTTTTTTTCACAACATAACTTCTTCCAAAAATTGAAATTAATTGTTCTGATATTGCAATCACTTCCACTGTTACTGGCTAAGGACATGTGCAAATGTGTTCCTGTCTTTACTTATGTTAGCTTATCATTCATTGATCTAGTTCTTGAACATTTATGTTTTTTGCTCTTTAAGGGGTCGTTTGGTTTGAATACGGCTTATGCCGGGATAAGTTATACCGGTATAAGTTATGCGGGGATTGTTTTTTATCTATTGTTTGGTATGTTGTATTAAATATGACAATTGCATAATTTGTAAGAATAATGTATAAGTTATACCGGTGCTAATTACCCCACCCTCTATAAGGTATAAGTTATCCCGGTGTTAATTTTAATCCTGGGATAACTTATACCTGGTTTGCTAACCAAACGAAGTATTAAGATGGTATTAAATTTTTATACCAGCACTATACCTTCTTATGCCTCATACCAAACGACCCCTAAGAGTTTTTCTTACAACTCTCTTTGTTTTTCTTGTAGAGAGGCCTGAGGGAACTGACAGAACTGTATGGCCCAAGCTTAAGCTTAAGCTTAGGTTTGCATACTGTTCTAGAAACTCGCCGGAGCTTAGGCTTGGAGCAGAGCGCTATTACTTGCTTCAGGGCTGCAAGAGTATCTACCATACTTATTGATGATGGAATTGAATTGGATAAAATGGTTGATATTGAATGGCACAAAAAAGTTGTGCCAATCGTTGGTAGAATACTGCGAGTTGAACATCTAGCTGAAAAAATTCTTGATAAGGTAATGTACAAATCATTTTGTAGTATATTGCGTTGAGTTTAACTTTTGTACATCGCCAGCTATCAGGTCACCTTAAAACCAAAAATCAATTGCAGATAAATTTTTATAACAAAGTATAGACTAGCAACCTGCTAGTTACCTACACTTCTTTTTTTAACTGACAGTCTACACTGACAATGTACAACTTTTACGAGGGTATAACCTGCTAGTGTTGTTTAGCCTGCTCTTTCACCATTTAGTGCCTCTCATTTAATAGAAAACGAGCCAAGATAGATGTATCTTATTTAAAACATTATATGGTCTTTGCTCTTTTTCAATAGGGTTGCTTCCCTCCTTGCTTGTATTTGCCTCTTTGCTTATGTGTCGGATCCTCCAAAAGTAGTGTATTTTTGGAGGATCCGACATGGGTGTAGCAACATTTGGAGAGTCCACGCAACATAGATTTGTCCGTGCTTTGCCTTAGAATTTGATTAATGTAAAAGGTTCTCTTGTAGACTGATAGTTCTAAGATTAGATGACCATTCATGAGGACGATATTTTATCAAACATTTTGTGCGATCATAAGATAGTCTTGGCATTGCTACTAGTGGAAGTTACAGTTTTCATATTGCGGATTACAGGTTTTTAAGATAATAAAGAAAAGATAGACATGAAATAGTACCAAAGTTTTGGCATTCCCCTATGAATTAAAAACGATATTGGTAGGACCTTGGGAAGAGAGGAAAATGCGAGCTAAAAGAATAATGAATGAACATATCCATGAACTAATGGGAAAATAATGAGCAAATTTTTTTAATCTCTTTTAAAGTAATGCCATAATCGACTTGAATCTTCGATCCATCTGGAAAAGACCTGAATTTGTAGGCTCGCATATATAAAGAGGTAGTATAGGACAATATCATGTTTCATGTAGAACTATTTCTACTGCATGATTCATTGTCCAATTCTTTTACAGTATTAAATTACTGATGGCTCTTTTGCTTTTAACGACTATGATGAAGTGGAGGGGCTTGAAGTTCTTGCATTGTTTGGGGTTGGTTGTTGTGACTATTGATATCACTTCCACAAGAATATTCTGTCTTTGTTATCTCTTTGTACCCCTATAGTTTAGATCTGATTATCTCTTTCTCCTGTTCTGTTCTATCCTAGGCTGCAGATGGAACAACATGGACACTGGATTCATTCATGGAGATTTTCACTAAGGAGCTGAAGTCATATCCTTTGAATTATGAGTCAATATATTCCAGAGTAGTTCAAAACATGTTTCTTTTGATCTGTAAAAAGTTATGCTTTCGGTATGTTTTTCCTATTCGTTTCACACAGTAGCTGATAATGTTGTTGCATTTAAAAGCATGGTTGCATGTCGTAGCGGCCTTGCAATTAATACAGAAGTCACTCAAAAAGAGGCAGAGGAGGGCCTGAGTGATGTTTTACGCGGTGAGTTGCAAGACTCGGGTTGTAATGCATCATGATTGAGCAGCTGATTCTAATAGTTCCTGTCTTTCCAGCTGGGAATCCCATCAGAATCTCAAACAAGAGCTTCATTGATTATATATTTATCCATGCGTTGGAGGTCGCTCAAAGTTATGACTTGCCAATGCAGATACACATGGGGTAACCAAAATAATGTTTTATATAGATAGCTTTGATTCTCATTTTCTTTCTAGCTTGTCACGGTATTTGATTGAGTCGACAGTCTTTAAGCCCTTTGTTATTGTAGTATATTCCCAGTCCTTATAAGAAACATTGTTATGTTTCTTCATTTCAGTTTCGGGGACAAGGATTTTGATATGATGCTTGCTAATCCCCTTTATCTTCACAATCTTCTTGAGGATAAGAGATTCACTAATAGCCGATTAGTGCTTTTGCACGCGTCCTACCCATTCTCAAAGGAAGCTTCACATCTGGCTTCTGCATACCCTCAAGTAAGATCTTTAATCCTCTATCTGAAACTATTAACATGTACACCTGCCAAATTTGAGACTTTTTCACATCTATTGTTAATGATGAAGTATTTTGCTTGTGTCTCTGTAACATGTCCATTGTCTTCTGTGATAGGTATATCTTGACTTTGGGTTTGCAATTCCTAAACTTAGCTTCCATGGGATGATATCCTCATTGAAAGAACTCCTGAAACTTGCTCCGATGAATAAGGTTGTTCATGTACTTAAAGATACATTGTTTTTCAGTTCAGGCTACAGTTTCCATATTCTTAGTTTGACTACTCTTTCAAACATCATTAAAGAGCAAATGTTTTCCCTTTCTAATGTTTGGATATCAACAGGTTATGTTCAGCACTGATGCCATCGCGTTTGCTGAAGCCTTTTATTTAGGTTTGTCCAGAATTATTCTTATTATCCTTAAAGTATGACATGACAAGCATTTGTTACTGTTGGCTTTCACAAGATAAAAAATTTAAAGTTTGCTTCAGCTAATCTGAAATACCTACTAAATCTGGCTAGCTAAGAAGTAGAAACACTTATGACAGGATGTCGTGTCCTTCTCTCACACTTCGTCTAACACAATTTTGTTAGAATTTGGACAATATAAGATAAATGTTTGACTTTGTCCATGTTTTTCTGGTGTTTGATTGTCGACATGTGTGTCGAGGATGTACCGGAAACAACCTCTCTATCTTGGGTAAGGTCTGAGTGCACATTACCCTCCCAGACCCCACTTGTGGGATTGCACTAGGTTTGTTGTTGTTGTTGTTGCTGTTGATTGTCGACATGTGTCTTTACTTATCCTGAATGTGCTATGCACATTAGGATGATATCAATTTAGGTTGCATAGTCAGATTACACAATAAAGATTTTTAAAATCAGTTGAGAAACAATCGAATAGGAAGTAGAAGGAAAAAAGAGGATACTGAACAGTGTCTATGGGAAGATAATGAATATAGACAATTAGTGATAGACTAACAAGGTTGCGGTAGAGTGGTAACTACTCCTTCATCCTTAACCAGAAGTTTCAGGTTCGAGCCCTGGGTATGGAGTCGCCTTTGTTAGGAAACGTTTTACCCCAATGTAGACTTCCTGCCATGAATCCAGATTTAATTGGGCCTCAGTGTGTGTACCGGACACCGGGTGGGAACCAAAGAAAAAAAAGAGACAATTGGTGATATATAGTGTTAGAAAAACTTACAACTACGTAGGGATGGCAATTGGGGCGGGGCGGGGCAGGGCAGGGCAGGGCAAAATATTATTTTTGAAAAAGATTGATGGGTTAGGGCAGGGCAGGGCAAGGTATAGAGCTGCTGAAATTGCTTAACAGTGTACATCTTGTTTTAGAAATTTGAAGCTTCAAGCTTCAGCTTTGAACAAGAATTCCCAGGAAGATTATTAAGAAGATTCATATATTATGTTGCTCCTAATAGCGAATACTAGCTTTAACTTTCAAAATCTTAGTGGGTCAAGGCTTGCCCCGCCCCACCCCAATTGCCACCTCTATAAGTATGTCTACAACACATTTATACTTCAGAATTAGACTATACCTCAGTTATTAGACACAGATATGCTCCTTAAATTGTGTATAGAGATATGAATGACATACAAAAATCTACTGTAGGTACATCCGTATTCTGCTCATGTCTTTCCATGAACCATTTTATGAGCAGTGTTCTGTCCACTCCATCCCATGCTACCCAACTGGATTGTTTTACCTATTGGAAAATTGAATTTGTATTTTTAGTTTATTAAACTATTTATTGAGTAACTAAAAGCAATAGTTAATTCTACTTGCTGAGGTGAAAATGTGCTGCAAATTAATATTGCTTGAGGTACATTTTCACTCTGATCAAGTAAGTTATCATAAGGAAAAGGTAAATTATTGCCGAACAATAATATCCAGCTTGAGTTGCATGCTAGATAAATGAGTTCATCTTCTTCCCATCTTGTTATGAGTATAACCTAAACTTGATTTCTAATGCAGGTGCAAAGAGAGCACGTGAAGCAGCATTCTCTGTTCTACGCGATGCGATGGTTGAGGGTGATCTTTCAATTACAAAAGCTGTGGCAGCCGTTAAAGATATATTTGCAGAAAATGCAAAGAAGTTTTACAAATTGCACAAACTTGATGTTTCTTCAAAAGATTCTGATATAGAACCTCATATACCGTCTCCCTTCATTAAGGAAGAGCTACATGGTTCATTAAAGGATTCTTCAACAGATTCTGATGTAGAACCTTGTATATTGTCTTACTTCCAGAGTGAAGAGTTATATGGCTCATCAAAGGATGTTACCCTTGTTCGCATTATTTGGATAGGTGCTTCTGGCCAACATAGATGCCGTGTAAGCTGTACCTTTGTCTTTAAGTTACTGCTTTTGCCTTATGATAACGAATTATTTAATGATATGCTTTATAATACTAAATCTTTGGTCCTCTTTGAGAAAATGCAAAAAGTTTCAATAGCATACAAGCTGGTTAAAGAATTTTCAATGATAGCATCAACAAAAAGATGAAAGGTTGCGTAACCATAATAATCTGAAGACAAATATCTACTCAACTTCGCTGTTTCATCTTACCTCAAATAGGAGGTTGTCATCAGCTAAAACAAAAGATAGTTCTTTATTTTGTGAAATTTGAGAATTTGATTTTGTGAAGCATTGAACACTTTGTAATCATATGTTGTGATTTCAACAAGCTTGCTAGTATTATTCCGCTTTCACTAAGAAAAGGGTGTACGCCGAAGCTATTAATGAGTCCAGCTATGACAATGCTTAGTATCTACTTCTCATTGTTAATTTTTGAATTATGGTTTAAGAAGTTCTTGCAAAGAGTATTTAAATGGATTTCCTTTTAATATTTTGTGGGTGCATTCTGTCTCTTGTGATGCTTTGGCTATGTTGAATATTTGGTTGGCTTATGATTCTTTGAATGTCGAAAATCCTGGTGGACATTATTTCATACCAAATATCTTTAATTGTATCAGATGTATTATTCAGGTTAAGTACAACAAGCTCATTAGTCAGTATAGTTTTCAGCCATTTTGATTACCTTCACTACATGATGTGGCACGTTGTTTGGAACTTCCCTGTTCTGCCAAAGAAAACGTAATGATTTTTTTATTTTGTTCTGCATCATTTGCAGGGTGTTCCACAGCAGCGCTTCTATAGTTTCGTGAAAAAGCATGGTATAGGCTTACCTCGTGCATGTATGGGGATAAGTTCAATATCTGATTATCCCGTAGAGGACACTACTCTCACCTGTTCGGGTCTGTTCACTATTGTTCCTGATTTATCAACCAAATGCAGAATTCCATGGTACTGTTTTGACACCTGTCTATAAGAATATTTACTATTATGTGATATACTCGGAGACATGTTAGAACTGATGGAACATCAAGCTATAAAGTATTTTCTAGATGATTTGTCTAACTTCACACGCACATTGATGTCCATTGCTTTTGTTGTTGTTCCACTTGTCTGCAAAAGCGGATTCAGGATTTAAAATTGATAGGTTCAATCTTCATTTTTTATAGCCAAAACCATTGCTCTTTTGAAATTATGAGTTCAGAATATAATATTTGTTGAAATATTAGAGATCTTTCATATATATACCTGTGCTCTTTGATCATGTTGTTTCCAGGACAGAAAATTTTTCAAACAAGTTTTGATGTGCATCTTTTGATCCAGGGCAAAAGAGCAGGAAATGGTTTTGGCTAACATGTGTACTAAATCTGGTGAACCATGGGAATATTGTCCAAGAGAAGCTTTACGCAGAATCTCTAAAATTTTAAAAGATGAATTCGGTTTGGTACGTTTACAATCTTGCCCAACAAAGAGTTGAAAATGTTATTGGTATGACAGGTATCTACATTTTTCAGGTCATGACTGCAGGCTTTGAAGTTGAATTTTACCTTCTAGAGAGTGTAATAAATTATGTGAGCCATAATATTTTTGTATCTAGTCTTCCATCATATATGTTTCTAGAGCTGTCCTCTATAGAACGTTACACTAAATATGTACAACTGAATCACACAGGAATGACAAAGAAGAATTTGATTCATCGGATCAGTACAGGAAGTGCCATACAGCAGCATTTGATGCTGCATCCCCAATGCTTGAGGAGATGCTCGGTTATCTTCAATCCTTGAATATTACTGTAGATTATGTAAGTTTCTATTTCCTTGAATGTTTGCTTATAAATTTGATGTTTCTCATGTTATCTGCAAACAGTACTGTAGCTAATTAGGAGATTTTAGCATGCATATCCATTTATTCTGCTTGAGTTGAGCTTAGGACTCGAGGTATTTTGTGCTTGCGCTATTGAGAGTATCTTCCATGAGCTTCACCAGATAAATAGAACTAGTTTCTTTGCTTCGATTCTGCCCCTAAAGTTAGCTCCTACTCCTCCTCTCACTGAAAAGGCATATAGTGAGATACATGCTAACTATAGGTAGAAAGCAGGAACCAAATGTAATAGTACATGAAAATATTCGACTTCATATTTAAAGAGTTGAGCTCAACTCAAGGACTTCAGGAAACATGTTGCACTACTATGATATGTGTTTTCAATGACAATTCCTTCTCAAAGTAATATTTGATTTGCATGATACTTAAGATGATGCAATGTTAAAAATACCTCAACCATATGTAAGATTTGTTTTCTGTTCCTAATCCCTCAGCTAATCAAATTGTGCTTATATCCTTTTATTAGGGTGTTCTACATTTGGTTGAGGGAATGAGTGTTGTCTCGTTATATAACAACAACAACAACATACCCAGTTTAATTCCACAAGTGGGGTCTGGAGAGGCTAGTGTGTACGCAGAACTTATCTGATGTTCTAAACGTCAATACCACACAAGGGGGGGGGGGGGTGATTTGTGTGGTACCCGATTTTCGATCTAGAAGAACCGGGTTCTTCTAGGTGATCTAACTACAACTGTTTGCGGAATTAAAAGTACATAAAATAAAGAACACAGAGATTTTTACGTGAAAAACACCTGGCTTAAAAGGTGAAAAAACCACGACCTACTACTCAGTAGGATTTTCCCAAACTTCCACTAAATCACTGAGCCAAAACAGCATTTACAAAAACTCTTTGTAAACCTAAGGATTAACTCTAATCCCTTTGTAGCACACAACCTCAACTGTTGCGACAACTTCAAGTTAGCCTATAACTTGAATACTCAAAGTACCTATTACAATTGCTTCTATAAAAGCTGAAAGGTACAACTTTAATCCACCTACTACAATTGAACTAGAAATAAAGAAAGACACATAAAACTCTTTATGGAGCTGGTTCTTCAATCTTGTTCAAGTAGCTTCAGGAGTGCACACTTAAATCTCACATAAATTGTTTGCAAAATCGCCTTGCTCTTTTGCTCTCAATTTAGTTT